AGACACATGGTGACTACGCATCAGGTTCATCGACTGGGACCTAAACTTGGGTCTTGCTGTGAAGTGAAATTATGTGGTGTGGCTTTTCCATCCATCGTCTTTGTAACTTCTACCAAAGGACTGGGTGAGAGCATGCAAATGGGGTATAGAAGACTAAAGGAGATTGGTCAGCTTTGCTTTTGTGCTGGGTATAAAGTGTGCCATCCCAGAAGTAGGAACAGAGAATCCCATGGCCAGCAGAAGAAGGAGCCACACTCATCTGGGATGCTGTGTGGAGACGTGGCAACAAGAGAAACCATAAAGAGGGAGCAGTGGTGACAGCAGAGACCATGAGAGGGAGCAGTAGGCTTCCTGGCCCACAGAACGAGTAAAGCTGAGTGCCTTTGGGCAAGAGTCTGGCTTGTAGGTGGGGATGTGTGTGCCCTTTAGGCATTTATTTGCACTTAAAGGGGCTTTGTAACATTTATTCAATTGCAAATATATTTATATGACGATGGGGAAATAGATCTATGTGCCTATATTTATAGGTCTAGTATTAAGGTAGCAGAAAGACATTGGGCCTCCACTCAAGTACTCCCTCAATGCAAGAATACTTTCTTCTATTCAATTGGCATTCTATGATGCTCACCTTCCCGACACAACAGCTGAAGACAAAGCGGGTGAATAACCAAATGTGGTGAAGAAAGCTGATGGTGCCCAGCTATCGAAAGATATAGTGTCTGGGGTCTTAACAGCTTGAAGGTAAACAAATGGCCATCTAGTTCACAAGCAACAAAGCCCACATGGAAGAACACACCAGCCTGTATGATTATGAGGTGCCGAAAGGATCAGTTATCAGGCATCAAAGAACAAAAAATCATATCATTGTGTGCTCACCTCCATGATACAATCACTGAAGACAAATGGGTGCATAAGCAAATGTGGCGAAGAAATGGTGCCTGGCTATCAAAAGATATAGCACTTCGGGTCTTAAAGGCTTGAAGGTAAATAAGCGGCCATCTAGCTCAGAAGCACCAAAGCCCACATGGAAGAAGCACACCAGCCTATGCAATCACGAGGTGTCGAAGGGATCAGGTATAAGGCATCATCAGAACAAAAAAATCTTACCATAGTGAATGATGGGGGGAGTGCGGAGTGGAGACCCAAAGCCCATGAGTAGGTCACTGGAGATCCCCTTGCAGAAGGGTCTTGGGGAGGAGATGAGCCAGTCAGGGTGCGATGTAGCAACGATGAAAAATACAACTTTCCTCTAGTTCCTAAATGTTTCCTCCCCGTTCCCACTATCATGACACGAATTCTACCTTGCAAATCTGGCTAGACCAGAGGATGTGCACTGGTACAGATAGGAACTGGAAATACAGGGAATCCAGGGCGGATGATCCCTTCAGGATCAGTGGTGTGAGTGGCGATACTGGGAGGGTAGATGGAGAGTGGGTAGGAAAGAGGGAACCGATTACAAGGAACTATATGTGACCTCCTCCCTGGGGGGTGGACAACTGAAAAGTGGGTGAAGGGAGACGTCAGACAGGGCAAGATATGACAAAATAACAATTTATAAATTATCAAGGGCTCATGAGGGAGAGGGGAGCGGGGAGGGAGGGGGAAAATGAGGACCTAATGCCAGGGGCTTAAGTGGAGAGGAAATGTTTCGAGAATGATGAGGGCAATGAATGTACAAATGTGCTTTACACAATTGATGTATGTATGGATTGTGATAAGAGTTGTATGAGCCCCTAATAAAATGATTAAAAACAAACAAACAAACAAACAAAAAACATTTATTCAATTGAACAGAGGCGAAGGGGCCATGTGACTGAGATACTGATTGCATCTTTAATGTTTTCTGATTTTGACTTACGGTGACCTGGTCACTTTCCTAATAAATCCCCATAATAGTGGGTATTGATTGTGAGTTCTGTGCGACCGTTTTGATGAGTTACCAAACCCAACAGGGAAGTAGTGTGCCTGGATTGGGGTCAGAATAAGGTAAAAGAAGTTGGAGGGTGGAGGCAGGCCTAACTTCTACCTTGTGGGAATTGAGCTGGTGTGGAATTGGAGTCTCCTCCTCCCTTGTAAGTCAGAGGGGGTCCGATGTGGCCTCCATGCCATTTCTTCCGGTCCCCTGAATGGACAGTGAGGGTTCTACTTCTGAACTGTCACTGCTCCCCAATAGGAGCCACATTAAAGAGCAAGAAGAAGCAGGTGAAATTAATTGTAAGAATATATATATTTAATCATTTTATTGGGGGCTCATACAACTCTTATCATAATCCATCCATCCATCCATTGTGTCAAGCACATTTGTACATTTGTTACCATCATCAGTCTCAAAACATTTGCTTTCTACTTGAGCCCTTGGTCTCAGCTCCTCATTTTTTCCCTTCCCTCCCCACTCCCCCTCTCTCATGAACCCTTGATAATTTATAAATTGTTCTTGTTTTGTTTTTAAGGAAAAGCAGCTCTCCTTTTGTTCATTATTTTCTTCTAATGGCTTTAAAGACCCCAAACCTGATTCTTTCCGCACTGGATCATGGGTAGGATACAAGCCCCTGAGGTCGATGACATGGCTCTGTTGCGAGCTCTTGGGCTGTGTCCAGTGGTGGCAGGGGCTGCAGAACTTGAGCTGTTCCCACTGCGTAGGAGGGTGGAGGAATGGCGGGGGTGGGTGTGCTTTGCTTCTTCTCTGTTCATTTCCTCTTGCTCCAATTCTGCCACTGCCCTTTTAGCATAAGGTCACCAGACATCCTGCTTTTGGCAGGACAGTCCTGATTTTTGGCGTTTTAAAAAAGTCCCCATTTTTGGCAACAAGGAGGATGACCAGAAGTTGGCTGCCATAGGTTTTAATATGTTCACACAAGATTCACAAATCACATAATGTGTTATTTCCTACAGTACTGTGACTGTTAACCAATGCTTACCAAAATGAATCCAAAATGCTCATTCAATGTGTAATCTGAACAAAATCTTAGATATTTAATACTGTTTTATACTCAAACCAAAACTCACTGCCATGGCGTTGATGCCGACTCATAGCTGCCCTGGAGGACTGGGTGGAATTGTCTCTGGGTTTCTGAGACTGTCACTTTTTTTTGTTTTT